GAGGAGTGAGCAGTTGAGGCTGCGGGAGTAGGATACACGCAATCAGCCTTGCGCAATCTGCATGATCGGCAGACAGGGCGAGCCTCGTCGCATTTAACCTTGCGAGCTTTACAATTGCGACATCCAGTTCGCGACTTCTTGTGAGGTCGTTTAGAATGGTAGGGCTTATTGTTATCGTAATTAGGCGGCGATCCTTCTGGGCTTTCCGACTGGTGTTGCTCTGCTGGGGTCTGAGAGTTGTCCATGGCTGATTATTGAGACTATAACATGGTTATCACAGACGGATAGAACTGATTTATGTATGAGATGACAAAAGTGAGTTGAGTTTCATGCTAACGTTATGTTGAATGAGATGAGTTGCTTGATGACAAGGTCTAGCCCACCAACAGAACAGACAGTGGAAACCCCGCGTACGTGCGTCTCAGGTCTGAGGACCAAACAAGGCTTAGCAGCACTCCAAGTTAGTTCCATTGCAGCTGTGACTGGACGACGACTCTAGTCTATGATGACGATAAGATCTGTACAGTAGGATTCGGGCAGACGGGCTAGACAGGCCCTGGGGTCCAATATCGTACATGATGATTGACTCACTTGCGTGGTGTTCAAAAACGTATCAGACAATATCTCCATATAATAAACAGTGTCGAGTTGACGACGCCCAATACCAAAGTCGGCAATCTGCAGAGCCCGTCTTACTCCTCATCGGCCAGCAGCCTAGGTAGCAGACTTCTCAAATTCTAATAAGTTCGGCGGTAAATATACAGAGAGGTAGTTTTAGTTACTAACTAAGTTAGAGATAATACCAGAATCTGAAGTCATCGACAAAGCAAAACCTCAATGATCTCCTTGAAATCAATACACTGGACTAGTTTCAGGATATATCTTACTTACTACAGTGAATTGTATAAATTATAAGCAAAGTTTTATTTATAGTTGTGTTTCAGTACCTACACGTATTCGCTGATCCCCTTGAATGTGTTAGATACCCTACGTCAACTGGAAATATTCCAGGGTTTTTCTTCAACAGACTTCCAAGGACCTATACAGGGAAAGGAAAGAGACAGGGGTGTTTTATATGCAACCCGGGTCACAGAACATATTATTTTGTCCATTCTTTGATTGTAGAACGGTCAGTTGTCAACGTTGGCCCTGATTAAACCAGGTCCCAAAATTCGATCGGGATTCGGCCGACTTAAAAAATCCGGCCCCGGTTTTGACGAAACTTTTGGGGAAATTGTTAAGCAAGACTTACATGACAGGGCTCATAGCTCGTAGTCATAGCTAGGACACAGCCTTGCGACTTGAGCTTCAAAGGCTTCGCCATAGTCTCCAACTCTCTCCTCCCGGTCCCGGCCGACGAGAAACTCGCCCGGATGCAATCGACAGGGCTCCGCGCCCTGCTCAATCCTGCTACTGTCGCCGCAAGATCGCAAGCCCGATCTCGAATTCGATATCGATCATTTCAGACATCGTCAGCCTGGAGGGATACAGGCGCAGGCGCAGGCGCAAACAATGGTGATAAGCCACCAGGGCAACCAGCAGCTGCAGAGGAAGAAGATGTGCAGCCTCAAAACGGAAACGAGACCGTAGCGGGTCGTTCACGAGTTCGAACTTCGACTTCCGTGAAAAACAGGATAGCTCGCAAACATGCCGCTCCTGCGCTACCCCCTGTCAAACTACCACAAACGTTCCTCGACGACAATGTCACTCTTCACCATGCCTGGAGAAGACCATGCCTCCCTATCGCCCTCGCCGAAGATGCCAAACAACCAAAGACGTCCTCTATCTTTGTCGATCCCCAGGTCGCTGATAAGAAGACTCGAATTATGGAATCCAACAGAGCCCTTGAAGATTACTTCGATGCGACATTCTCTGCCATGTTCGAGAAAGTTGCTGATCGTGTCAAAGCTGTTGTTGCTCTCGATGCCAATTGCCACACAGAGGAGCTCGTACATAAGTTGACGAGCCTCACACGCGCCTACGACATGCTGCTCGATTCAGCATGGCATCTGGCTGATTCGCTATATCCTGCCCGGCACGCGGAATACATATACACCTCAAAGCCATTCTGGTGGTGGCACTACTATAAGGATTTTGATCGACATGCCCAAGAGTTTCGCGACCAGTTTCTTTCAGTTCAGACAGGCCTCGACAGCATTCTCGACTATGACTGGAGACTTGACCACTCCCTAGCCCAGGCCATCGCCGACCTACCTATTCTCACATTCTCCTCTATTCGATCTGCTCTGCGCCGAGAATTAACGACACCGCCCCCTCCTGAATCTGAGTCCAAAAACCTCAAGCGTCAGATTACGTTATTGTCCATGTCTGGCTATAGTGGACAAGCCATATCAGAGGCTGTCGCAGAACATGTCGCCTTCTTCAACGATGCCGATCTGGTTAAACTGAATGCTCAGGATTTATCTATAATAGTAGGAGACTATCTAGACCAGGACTGGGCTTATTCGCGAGGCTCACTCTCGAACATGGGATTCCGTGCTGCAGAGATGAATGGAAAGCTATACAAGGATCCCGATGTGATGACGCGGCACGAGGAGGAGGACAACGACCCTGATACGGGCGTGATTAACATTCGCGCAGCCTCAGGCTCGCTTGAAGACGAGCTTTCTAAAATCAAGCAGGGTGGCTATGACCCCTTTGGCAAATGGGAGAACCTCAAGATCGACAAGGTCCTGGACCAAATTATACAGGCGGCCGAGATCAAGCAAGGCTCCCCGCGTGAGAAGCCTCTCATCATCCATATCCACGACTTCATTGAACTCAGTATGACGCTTGAGGGTTCAATGCTCATAACGAGATTGAGAAATATCGTGGATTCAGCCTGGCAACAAGGTTCCAAGGTTGCAATTCTGGGAACTTCCTCGAGTGAGCAGCCTTCAGAGGAGTATCAAAGCACTCTTCGAGACCTCTCAATCGGAGACTTTGTTATTTCTCGACATATCGATCCTTCTCGCACTCTGAGGCAGCCCAAACCAGCTGGCGGCTTACAAACTTCCAATGGCCATTTTGCTCTTCAGGACACAGACATTTTCGTGGAGAATGTTCAAAACATCAACCGCATGCTGAAATCATTAGGTAGCCAATGTACCCTTGAACTTTCAGACGCTCACATGAAGATCTTTATGCACGCTACAGACACACGAGCCCAGATGCTCAAGAGATCGATTCTTCCTCTACCAGAGGTGTACAACATTGCATGCGCCGCAAAACGTCACGAGGAAGAGGCCGCAGGTGCTGCACCTGGAGGAGTGTATGAGCGTCTTCTCATGGGTCCTCTGAGGCAAAGGCCTGGGCAGCGATACCTTGACGAGCCTGAGCAAGACGGCAAGACGCAAGGCGAGGACTCGCAGAAGAAGGATGAAGATTCGCAATCAGGCAGCCGGACAGCCATGAAGCTGAACGAGTACGAGAAGCGGATATCATCGGGCCACATCAACCGTCAGAACTTGAGAACGACTTTCGATGATGTTCACGTCCCCAAGGACACCATATCTGCCCTCAAGCTTCTCACAACCCTGGCGCTGGTACGACCTGATGCCTTCTCTTATGGCGTACTCGCCCAAGATAAGATCCCTGGATGTCTTCTGTACGGACCTCCAGGCACAGGCAAGACATTGCTCGCAAAGGCAGTTGCCAAGGAGAGCGGCGCAAACATGCTCGAAATCAGTGGTGCAACTATAAATGATAAATGGGTTGGGGAGAGCGAGAAACTTATCCGGGCAGTCTTCACGCTGGCCAAGAAGATCTCACCGTGTGTCGTCTTCATTGATGAGGCCGATTCTTTACTAGCAAATCGCAGCATGCTCGGTGCTCGCGCATCACACCGCTCTCACATCAACCAGTTTCTAAAAGAGTGGGATGGCCTCGAGGAGACAGAAGCCTTCATCATGGTTGCCACCAACCGTCCGTTCGATCTCGATGACGCTGTTCTCCGCCGCCTGCCGCGTCGTCTGCTTGTTGATCTGCCTCTACAAGCAGACCGTACTGCCATACTGAGGATCCTCCTCAAGGGCGAAACCCTCGACCCTGCCGTCTCACTGGAAGATCTAGCCAAGCGAACCCCCTACTACTCGGGCTCTGACCTCAAGAATGCCTGCGTCGCTGCCGCCATGGCTGCCGTCGAGGAGGAGAATGAAGCTGCTGCACGCCACATTGGTCCAGAACCGTATGAATACCCTAAGAAACGTATTTTGCGCCAGGACCACTTCGACAAGGCCCTGCGCCAAATACCGGCCAGCATCAGCGAGGATATGCAGTCTCTCAAGCAGATCCGCAAGTTTGATGAAGAATACGGGGCTAAGAAGAAGGGTGCAAAGAAGACAATGGGCTTTGGCGTCGGCGTAGAGAAGAAGTTCGCCGATGCTGAGGAGGTAAGAATCCGTCGTGGCCCATGAAGATGTTGATGTTAGGCTCGGATTTGGTTTCACATTTTTATGCATCATGGCGTCAGGCAGGAGGAATCTTTCGTTGTATAATACACGCATATATAGACTTGGCCAACACAGAGGTACTTACGATGGATTGAACTGAATGGCGAGCTTGGTTTTGGCATTGGCAAAAACAGCCAATAAACTATAGAATGATATATATAACCAGACTCTGAGCCACGGTCCTGAGGCACAGTAATGGCTGTTGCAATGTGACACTTTAGACTCTATTAGATATTACTCAGCCTGCAACCCTTCAGATGACTGGAAAACAAGTCCCATCTGACCTATCTAGCCCTCAGCACTGATAGTCCAACTCGGGCTGCCGCGATGAAAATGGGCAACATCACTGGCCCTGACGCTCTTCAAGGCGAGAAGACACAGAAGCGCAAGAGGATATCAGCGATGAGCGTGGTGACCAAAAACATCACTTTACGGCAATCCTCGATAGATCAGGGTAAATGCTTTGCAGATGTCTTTTATATTTCACCGATCGGCCATGCTTTCTCCCCTAAGCTGATCATCATGTTTACGGAAATGAGCTTAGAAGGATCATGCTTCGGTCGATATCTGTATCCCTTCTGCTGCGAGAGCCCTCGAGTAGTCGGCTTGAGCCTTCTCCAAAGCATTCATAGTTGGTTGCATCAAAGCAACCACGGCAGCTTTGCCACCTCTAACATTATCAGATCGCCATCTGATCTTCTTGCCGGTTCGCTGGAAATGATCTCGGATCTCTTTCTTCCGGCTGCGAATGATTTCCTCGCGTTCCTTGTCGGCTTCCTCTGCAACGGCGTTGATGCGTGCCAGTGAGCGGCCGAGGGACTCGGCTAGGTACTGTAGCTCACCAGCGCGGTCCGGGTTTCCCGAGAGGAACGCGTTCCAGAATTGATGCAGAAACTCGATGGTCGTTGCGTGGGTAAGACTGCACTTGCGGGAAATCTCAACAGGAAGCCCCATGGGCTCAGCGGCATCCGTCTCGTGACCGTATTTTTGAGCGCGTTGCTGGCGCACTCCCTTCATGATGTCCTTGTCAGCAGCTAAGAGAGCGAAGCGTGATCCAACATGTGGCCGTTTGGGGGCATCTTCGTCACTTTCGCTCTCTTCATCAAATCCCATTGCTGCCTGTATGTTTATTCCGCCAGCACCATCGCTCTCAAGAGTCTCGAGGTCTCCCACTATCTCGAACAGAACTTCGCTAGGAACTTGTCTTTCGAAAACCGCAGCTTGTTTCGAGGGGGCAGAGTCATGCTTTGAAAAGAACTTGTTCTGTTCTTTCACGTTGAGCATAATACGATGCTCCTTCGCGTCGCCTTTCAAGTCACGCAAAGCCAACTGGACATAAGCGTTGTAACCGCCATCGGGATCATCATTGTTGACATCAGATGGGGCAACGTTGGCCATGATCTTCTCACTGAGACTATTGAGGGTCTTTACAATTGGTATATTGGCCCTAGGACGCATCTCGACATCCTTCGCGTTTCCACTTTTGAAGCCTCCCTGATTCTCTTCGTTGGCCTCGATGTCGATAAAGTGCGGTACTTGGTTTGCCATGATTTTGCTCTGAAAAGCAACCGTATTCTCAGCAGGGTCGTATTTGTCGAACAAAGGGTCATTGGGGTCGTTCTCAGCGACTCGCTCACCGCGTAGTTTTTTGGAAAGTCTGCTGAGGAAGAAACGGGACCAGAAGTCCGCTTCAGATATCTTGGGGACATTCTCGTTGTATACACGTTTGATCAGAGGATGTTGTGCGAATATCATCTGCACCTGCTCTACGCTGATGTTTAACTTTAGTTCGCCATCAACAGTCTTGGGTTTGACGGTTGAGAGGACATTATAAGCTCCCTTCTTCTGGTTTATCTCAATAGCATGGGCCCGGAGAAGATTTGTCCGGGTTGACCAGAACTGTGAATTAAAGGCGGCTCCTGATAAGGAGTCGGGCTTGGTCTGCATTGCTTCAACGTATGTTTGATGGAGACTTGTATCTTTTCTCATCAGCGACTGTTGCAACTCGATGTCGTTCTTGAGCTGCGAGTCATCGAACCAGCGCGAGGATGAAGCATTCTGTGAGTTGACGGCGCTGGCGAAGGCCATGGATGCGGAACCGCTACCACCACCACCACTACCACCACTGCCGCCACCAGCGCCTGGATTAGGCGTTGAAGAGCCAGCACTTGCGCCGGATGGTTTTTGAACAGACCCATCGTTGCCACGCGTAGACGCTAATAGGCTGGATAACAGATCTTTGACAGCCTTTGCCTCATCCTTGGCCTCGGCAGTGTTGAAGTGGAAGAGATATGTAGCAGGCTCCGCGTCTCCAACCTTTTCGAAGATTTTGAGCATAACCTTTGGTGAAGAATCTGGGGTCTGCTGGAGATCTGGCGTGAATCCATGTCAATAATCGAGTCGTATCAGAGGACGAAAACCACGTCTCAGCTTACTTGTGATGTTATTGATGTTGAGTGAGATTGTGGCAGGGCCTCCTGAATTAGGAGTCCAAGTGACCAGCTGATGGTCACTTGTGAGAGTCAGAATGCCCTCCTTCTTTTTGAAAAGGGTACGTCCCACTGGGATTGCCATTTCGACGATGGACTAGGTACCTTAGTATTTTGTTAATGAGACGGTTCGATACGGATATCTCACCCCGTTGAGAAGACGCTGTCCAGCTATCAGACTCCCTAGATTGGATTGGATTGGATTGGATGCCTGCTCTTCAGTGCTTTGTTCAGGCAAGACCCACTTGCGGCCACTGATTTCATGATTACCTAAGGCAGTAAGCACATCATTTAGGTACTATCCAATACCTAGACTAGTTACCTATAGGTACTAGGTAGGGGACAGGACTCAGTAGATTTTTGATGGTTGCTTTGTTCATGTTTCATGTATGTATGTATGTATGTACGACTGCAACATCACATCAAAAGCATCATCAAGTCGATCAATTAATCAGGTGACGGCCCAAAAATGTACGTGGGGTTGCTCGCTGTTTTCTCAGTTTTTAGCACATCTTATGCCGACTCCAACCTGCTACTTACAACCAAGACTCACAGGAAGCTGTGGACCCTAGGTATCAACCACTAAGTTGGCGATCTGACGGTAGGTTAGCAGTCGATGATTAAGTACTACCTATGGTAGCTATGAATCCCCCAATTGTTGAATTGTAATTAGTTAGCAGTGAAAACTTGGGCTGTACCAAAACAAATATGGAACATGAAGAAACGACCCGGGGTCTGAACATAGGAGTAGAATTGACGCTTGTTTGATCCGCATACGTCAGAGCTTTGGACGTGCATGAGATTCCTTAGTACTCAGCTTCTCCAACTTATTAGGTAGTCGTACCTTATTAGTACAAGTACGTACTCATTCATGTCTGAATATGGCTGGTGAATTTACTATCCCTTTGAATCCGAGGCAGCACCACCTTAGTATCTTTTATAGGTCCTGCCAATTAAGAAGCTGGTATTAAAGGTACTTATATCTAGGGGACTAATAGGCTAAGATCTAAGTACCTATATTTAATAATGCAGGTTGCCGATCGTGACCTTTAGCTTTACTGCTGTGCCTCCTTGAGGCTGGTATTTGTGGCGTAAAGATCAGCAGCTAATCAATACTGGGGCCTGCCCCACAAAAGTACATCAGTGGTGCTCCCTCGGATTCAAAGGGATCATTCAAACTGCGTGTTTTCCCGTGACTCAACCCTTGACGCATTCAAAACGCTCTCCAAAACCTGAAATGCATGAGATGATGAATGCATGAACATTCCTACCTAGGTAAGGTACCTACCTATAAGAGGTACAGTACAACATACAGTAAATGTGGCGTCGGCTATTGATCCTGTTTGAACCACGCAACTAAAACTTCATCGAGGTTATTATACTCCGCAATCTCAGTTCCTCTCTCGTGCGACCTGATTCACTTATACTGACACGTTTTTCCCCCTAGGCTAGACCGTCTGAGGAAGGTCTCCCTATTTCCACAAATACACCACCAGGTTCTATTCTAGCCCCCCTAGAGTACAAGCACAAAGCCATCATCATGAATTGGTCGGCATTGAAAACCAAATGCCCCAAAATCGTGGGGAAGTACATACAAGCGATGGCCCGGCTCAACGGGTGTCATGGATGGTGAACGCTGAACGGCACAGCGTTTCCGGGAATCGGTCTCTCCTTGCTCAAGCATCACGGTGATCCTCGGTAAAGAAGCCTCAAGTCTCCGAAAGAGACCCCAAAGCCCCAAAAATATTAAACGTGCCCCAATGACAGTTGCCGCAAAAGCCCACGATGACCTCCAAAACAGTGTGTCATGTGGGTTCCCGGACAATCAAGGCCGGTCACCTTTCACCTTGGATTTTACCTAATTCTCCCCATGAAAACCCCCCAACACTGCCTGACCTGCACCGTGTGCCGCACTGAGTTTTCTCGGTGACCGAAGCGCTACGGAGGCCCCTAGCCAATGAGAAACCCAATCACTGGCGGCCAGAACCGGGTTTGCCGGGGTCGTCATAGTATTTTTGCCAACAGAAGGACATCAAAGGCCAGGCCAGACCAGGTACGTACGGTACCTAGCGGCTTGAGCTCCAGCGCTGCTCATACCTAAAACAATTTCTTCCCGTCGTCTACTTGTTCTTCCCGTGTCCCTCCCAACTTACCTATCCTACCTATCCGCCTTATCCATCCATCAATCCAGTCCAATTCCTCTCTCCTCAGTCTTCACGGGGAACCCTTTGTTGACTTACTCCGCCGTTCATTCGTGTTGTGATCAAGCTCGTCGAGGGATGCTTCCCATTCATATCCTCTAGTTCCTTTTTACGTCCCTATACCTGTTCTGTTTCTCCACATACACAAACACAAATACAAACGCTCATCATGTTGAGGAATTCGCTCTGCAGAGCTAGCTCGCAGCTCCTTCGCGGTGCTCGATGCTCTGCTGCCTCGTCTACCGCCTCTATCTCGACCCTCTCGGCCCGTACATCATCATGGAAGCTCGCCGCCTCCCGCCGCCCTCTGGCCGTTGCTGCTCGTCGCAACTATGCGACCAGCGCAACTTCTGCGCCTCCCGATCCTAACGATAACTTCCTCTCCGGAAGCACCGCTAGCTACATCGATGAGATGTACATGCAGTGGAGGCAAGATCCTGAGAGTGTCCATGTCTCTTGGCAGATCTACTTCAAGAACATGGAGAGCGGCGAGATGCCCATCTCTCAAGCTTTCCAGCCTCCTCCTAACCTGGTCCCAAACATGACCGGTGGCGTCCCTCGCCTTGCTGGCAACCTGGCCATGGAGGATGGCTCCGATGTCACCAACCATCTCAAGGTTCAGCTTCTTGTTCGTGCTTACCAGTCTCGCGGTCATCATACCGCCAAGATTGACCCCCTCGGTATCCGAGGTACCAACGACGCCAAGGGATTCTCCAACATCAAGCCCAAGGAATTGACTCTCGAGCACTATGGTTTCACCGAGAAGGACATGGACACCGAGTACACCCTCGGCCCTGGTATCCTGCCTCGCTTCAAGCGTGATGGCCGTGAGAAGATGACCCTCCGTGAGATCATCGACGCTTGCGAGAGAATCTACTGCGGTTCTTTCGGTGTTGAGTTTATTCATATCCCTGACCGTGACAAGTGCGACTGGCTCCGTGAACGTCTCGAGGTCCCTACTCCTTTCAAGTACTCTGTCGATGAGAAGCGCCGTGTTCTTGACCGACTTATCTGGAGTTCCAGCTTCGAATCTTTCCTGGCCACCAAGTATCCCAACGACAAGAGATTCGGTCTCGAGGGTTGTGAGACCCTTGTCCCTGGTATGAAGGCTCTCATTGACCGCAGTGTCGACTATGGTGTCAAGGACATTGTCATCGGTATGCCTCACCGTGGTCGTCTCAATGTTCTCTCCAACGTCGTCCGAAAGCCCAACGAGTCTATTTTCAGCGAGTTCGCTGGTACAAACGGTGCCGAGGATGAGGGATCTGGTGACGTCAAGTACCATCTCGGTATGAACTTTGAGCGTCCCACTCCCTCTGGCAAGCGTGTTCAGCTCTCTCTGGTCGCCAACCCTTCGCATCTCGAGGCTGAGGATCCCGTCGTCTTGGGCAAGACCCGCGCTATCCAGCACTACAACAACGATGAGAAGACTCACCGCACCGCCATGAGTGTTCTCCTTCACGGTGATGCCGCCTTCGCTGCCCAGGGTATCGTCTACGAGTGTCTCGGCTTCCACTCTCTCCCCGCCTTTTCTACCGGTGGTACCATTCACCTCGTCGTCAACAACCAGATTGGGTTCACCACCGATCCTCGATTCGCCCGATCTACCGCCTACTGTACCGACATTGCCAAGGCCATCGACGCGCCCGTTTTCCACGTTAATGCTGATGATGTCGAGGCTGTCAACTTTGTCTGCCAGCTTGCTGCCGATTGGCGCGCCGAGTTCCAACACGATGTTGTTATTGACCTCAACTGCTACCGAAAGTACGGCCACAACGAGACCGACCAGCCTTCCTTCACCCAACCGCTCATGTACAAGCGCATCACTGAGAAGGAGCCTCAAATTGACATCTACGTCAACAAGCTCATCGAGGAGGGCTCTTTCTCGAAGGCGGATGTCGATGAGCACAAGCAGTGGGTCTGGGGCATGCTCGAGGAGAGCTTCACCAAGTCCAAGGACTACACTCCTACCTCCAAGGAGTGGACCACCTCTGCTTGGAACGGCTTCAAATCTCCAAAGGAGCTGGCCACCGAAGTTTTGGCTACTAACGAGACAAGCGTCAAGAGTACTACTCTCGAGCATATCGGTACCGTTATTGGAAGCACTCCCGAGGGCTTCCACGTTCACCGCAACTTGAAGCGCATTCTCTCCAACCGAACCAAGTCTGTTGTTGAGGGCAAGAACATCGACTTCCCTACTGCCGAAGCTCTGGCCTTTGGTTCTCTCGTTACTGAGGGCTACCACGTCCGTGTCTCCGGTCAGGATGTCGAGCGTGGCACCTTCTCTCAGCGACACGCTGTCTTCCACGACCAGGAGACCGAGGATACATACACTCCCCTTCAGCACCTGAGCCAGGACCAGGGCAAGTTCGTCATCTCTAACTCTTCCCTCAGTGAGTTTGGTGCCCTGGGCTTTGAGTATGGGTACTCGCTGTCCTCGCCCCACGCCCTTGTCATGTGGGAGGCCCAGTTCGGTGACTTTGCCAACAACGCTCAATGTATCATCGACCAGTTTATTGCCTCTGGTGAGGTCAAGTGGATGCAGCGAACCGGTCTTGTCATGTCTCTGCCCCACGGGTACGATGGCCAGGGTCCCGAGCACTCTTCTGGACGTCTGGAGCGATACCTTCAGCTCAGCAACGAGGATCCCCGTGATTTCCCCACTGGTGAGAAGCTTGTCCGTCAACACCAGGACTGCAACATGCAGATCGCCTACATGACCTCTCCTGCCAACTTGTTCCACATTCTCCGCCGACAGATGCACCGCCAGTACCGCAAGCGTAAGTAAAAAGTATCCTATTCTATTTTCTATCGGTGCTAACTTGTCTGCAGCCCTCGTTATCTTCTTTTCCAAGTCTCTTCTCCGTCACCCTCTGGCTCGTAGTAACATTGAGGAGTTCACTGGTGAGAACGCTGGCTTCCAGTGGATCATCCCTGATCCTGAGCATGAGACTGGTGCCATCAAGGCTCCTGAGGAGATTGAGCGCGTTGTTCTCTGCAGCGGTCAGGTCTGGGCTGCCCTTCACAAGCACCGATCCGAGAACAACTTGGACAACGTCGCCATCACTCGTATTGAGCAGCTTAACCCCTTCCCTTGGCAACAACTCAAGGAGAACCTGGACCAATACCCCAACGCCAAGACCATCGTCTGGTGCCAGGAGGAGCCTCTCAACGCCGGT